TGAGGGGGCGGTTGCTGGCCTCGGCTTTGTTCAGGGAAGAAAAGAGCTTGGCTGCTTCTTTTGTTTTCTTCACCAAGCCCTTCTTCATCATCTCAGTCTTTGTGGCGTAGGAGTGAGCATGTTGAATAGCCTGTAAAGAATTAAATGCAAAATTAGCAAAATTTCACAAAGTGTGGAAAGGTTGACAAAGTGGAAGGCAGAATACTTACCAAAACTGAATGCTGCATCATGAAGGCAAAATCTTATTATTTATGAAGCTCGGCCACGCGGTTCATGTCCTCGGGTAGAAGAACTGCCGTGGACAGGGCCGCGTCGACCTCAAGATTGGCAGCACTGTCACTGGCGGTAAGTGGTCTGTCGTCGAGCATGATCTTGGGCGCCCAGACCATACCTCGGGGATAGCTGCTGCCCTCTTGGTGGTCTGACCTCGGCTTCTTAGCAGGAGGGGCCTCGGAAACTAGGTCATCGGCAGGACATTCTTCGGCAAAGGGGGCGCTCTTCTCAGCCTCGGCTAACTTGGAGATAAGAACAATGTCCTCAGAATCAATCTAAGTCACTGTAGCCTTCGCTTTGGCCTTCTTCATGCGTTTTGGTTTTGGGGTTGGTTAAGGAGAGGATGAAGACTAAACGTTGACTACGCTAGGAAGGTTGGTGAGCAAATCTTCAACTACTGCAGGTTTTCACCCTATCTCGTCGGCTGTGGTGGCGACTGTGACCTTTGCACCAAAATGAAATGCTGGTAGAGCTGTTGGTGGATTTGATGGGTCGTAGGCCGACGAATCAGCACTTCGGCGTCTTCGGCTTCGAGTCCTTTCTGTCGGTGCAAAAAGTGGGGCTCGACGTCGGCGTTGGCGTTGAGAGGGTGGAATTAGTTGTGGAGCTGAGGTAGATGGTTGTTCTGCTGGGGAGCTGAGGTAAATGGCTGTTCTGCTGGGGCAGATGATGATCCTTGATCTGGCCAAGGTGACGATGTTGTAGCATGAGTGGAAGTAGAAGGACGGGACTTGCTTTTCTTGGGGACATCGGATAGAATGGACTTGTAGATTGGGATGTAGTTGAGCAGTAGAGATGCTTTTCGCTGGTCAACTCGCAGACCCAATAGCTTCTTGAAGTCCTTACTTGGGAAGAATGTTTTGCGGAAGTCCTTTGGTGGCTGAGGAAGAACTGCAAGACAAAACAAACAGAGGTTAGAGCATACGAAAATATCAAGGTAAGAAAGACTCGAAAGCAAGTAAAGGTGACGTTGGGATCTTACCATCTCCCTCTTTGAAAATTGTTCGGCTTATGGGATAGAGGTGAAGGTCATCATCTGGTTGAAATTCCCAGTTGCCTGAGACGATGAAGTAATCATCTCCAGCACCCTTGTTCGAGTCTGGGAGGTCGATGACAAGTTTGTATTCCGTGGATCTCGGCTTAAGGTAGTAGATATAGCATTTTTCTGACTTCAGGCTGTACATTGTATAGCAGTAATGGATGTCGGCAAGGGTAACCCTAGCATTCTCTTTTGTGGCTAAGGCAATTATACCATTGATAACTCGGTAGGAGTTAATGGCAAGTTGCATTGGGTTCAGTTTGTAGTAGTGTAGGACTTCTCGGAAAAGGGTGTCAAGAGGGAGCCTAAGTCCACACTCAATAAAGGCTACAACTGGAAAAGGCATATAGTCATTCTCTCCTGCCAACCTAAGGTGAACGTCGGTAGGGATAACAAACTCCTGCCTAAAGTATGCTAACTTAGTTGGAGTGTCTACCCTCTACCTGAACATATCCATGACGTCGGTTAAAGTGGGGGAGGTGTTGGATTTTGAAAGAAAGTGATTTGATAGGGTTTAAAGGACCTTGGCTAAAACCTAAACGTGTGCTGAGGCAAATTTTTTGGAAGATCAAAAGGGTTTTAGGTTCGGTTTTCCTAAAGATCAAGTTTCTAGAACAAAATCTCAAGCCTAAGAATCTAGAAAAAGGCACAGAAAACAGAGACAAGAATATGATTCAGACTCAAGAAGACAAACAAGAAATCAAAGAACACTGAACAAGTTTGTGCAGGTGTGCAAGGCGAAAGTTGAGCGAATGTGTGTGCAATTTGTACATAAAGTTCAAGAATCAAGAACAAGACAAGCACAAAAAATTACAAAACAGGACATGCTTAAAACATATGAATGACAAAGTTTGAAGCACAGATAAAGATTGGAGCACATGAGGACATTCACCATGGCAATAGACAAAAACAACGTAGTTTGAAACTAAAGAGGGGGAAACAGTGACTTACCACAGAAATGACGCCGATATGAGATTCGCAGGAGTCTGACAGTGGAAATAGGTAGAGCAGAGCGGAGAGAGCTTTGCTGGAGGAGGTAAACGAAGTGGTTGCAGAGCTTGAGAGCTTGAAACAATGGAGGATTTGGGAGTAGAGAGAGAGAGAACTTGCATGAAAATAATGGTAAAAAAGTGAAAAGACGGAGAGAGAGAGATAATTTTGATCAAACAAGCAGAATGGCGGGAAAATGACAATTAGTGTGCCTAGGACGACGTGCTTGTCAGACGGTGCACGCAAATACAATGCGACTTAATGGCACGTGTTAGGTACGGCATAGTAGGGGAAAGACGCGTAGCAAAAACGGTTGAAATACTGTGCGTGACAACTCATATGCGTGTTGAAACTCTTGGGGTTCTTAATTTAATGGAGCAGGACCTCGGCTAGGGGGATAATCTCGGCTGAGAAACTTGAACAGACTTGCTTACTGGTTCTGAAGCATTGATGAAAACAGACTAAGTCTTGGTCGTATTGAGCCGACGAATGATGACCTCGGTTTAATGACAAAGCGAGTCTAGCCGACGTACTAAATGGAAGAAACGATATAGGTTCCACCACCTCAGGATACCAAGGTAATAGAACCTAAGGGGCAGTTGTGGGGACATAATTTTCGAATGACAACACGTGGCTGAGGTGGCACCGAAGTGCCAGCCGAGGTGCCACGTGTCCTGGTCATGACGCCGAGATTATCTGCGAAGATACCAGAGTTCGAGATAAGTGGATAAGGGACAAGAGTCCTAGATTGGGAGAGGACTTCAGTTTGAATAAATATAAGACTCTTAGAGTGTTTATTCCAATCTAACTGGGAGTCCAGGATTAACATTGAACCAGAGTCCATTGAAGCTAGGCTTCTATTGGGATTAGGTCAGTGTTGGCTATAAAAGAGAGGCACTCTCGTAGATTTAAGGTACGCTTTTTGTATTCGGAATAAGTGAGTTAAGCACTTTTGCTATCCTTGAGAGATAACTGACTTGATCGTTGGAGTGCCCTCGGGTAGGCGAACCACCGCCGGAATCTTATCTTTCTGTGACAGGTCGTTCGGGCTTAATTTATTCTGCCGATATTCTCTAACAGAGTACCTGATTGGCAGCGTGGTCGGAAATTGACACACAGAGGACCAATTCAATTATATTTATAAATAAGAAAACAAGACAAAAAATTAAATTATATATAGCATTTTTCTTTATACAAAACAGTTCTACACACTTAAGATTTTTTTTATGAGAAATTCACTCAAAAAAATTTAAGAGAAAATTTCAAAAAAGTTGTAAGTAAAAAATATAATTACAAAGTGACGAAGGCGCATGTTTTATTTACACAATCCAATGCATGAATCTCTTGTACATTCATTACTTTGAAATAATTTTTTTTTTATCAATTTGTATAGAAAATAAGACAACTTTAAAAATTGTTTTATATGAAATACCTTTGTTACTTGCACCCTTCTCTTCTCTTGTTTTTGGATAACTCTTTATTTTCCTTCAAATTTAATGTTTTATAAAATTTTCAATTTGAACGTGGGTATTTATCAAACAGTATATTGGACATGTTTCAAATATATATATATACATATATATTGATTGAGTGTTTTTTGAATATATCTTCTTTTTAAAAATTAAAATTTAGTTGGTGAAAATTTTAAAAAAATAAATCAAACACTAATTATTTTCATATGATTTTTTATGAAACATAAAATAATATTTTAAAATTCGAATATATATTTATATATATTTTTGTCAAATTAATTTATAACTTTTTAAAAATAAATCCAAAATCCAAATTCTAAAAATTAAATCAAATAAAAACATTTTGCAATTAAAAATTTTCTAAAAATACATTCGTATTGATAGGATTCTCACCATATTAGAAACATTTAAAAAACAAAAAAAAAAAACAAATATGAAGTAGAACATGCAAGATTACAACAAATCACACTATGCTAGTTAACGAAATTGTCTTTTGAAAACAGAATACTTTATGTTTATAGGGGAAAAAAAAAATTATCATAGTAAGAGTCGTTTGACATTGGCTAATATAATTAATTTTTTTAATATGAGACTTTTTTAGTCTAGCTTTTGTAGTTTCGTTTGGTTTTTATTTTGGGATTATTTTTATTTTTGTGAGAGAAAAAATGTAATGATTATAAGTAAAAAGTGATATTTTGTTTTATTAGTTTATATAACTTATTTTGTCTTTTATACTTTTTTTAGTCCCAAAATGCTAGCCAAACGAGCACTAATTAATTTCCCAATATCCTTTTTTGACATTTTAATGTGTAACCTAGATTTATTTTAAATTTTAAATGTGAAAAATTAAATGTAATCCATGTACATTTCAAATTATAAGACGTACTTTTTCTACCAAATAAATGTTGAAATGTCCCACTTAAATATAGGGTTCACTTTTATAAATCTCATAAATTTGATCATTAATTTAATAAAAAATTTAACAAAAATATTTGAGACTCCCTTTTCCTCCCATCCCTTTTGACCCTCTTTTTCTTCCATTGGCCAGCTTTTTATTTTATTTTATTTTTTTTCCTTCTCCTCCAATCACTACTCGTCACGTGTGTGGAGTGGTAGAATGGTAATTGGAGGGGTCTCTATCAATGCTCAAAATTTAATATTCCAACCATTGTGGGTAATACACACTACGTATCCATAATTACACTGAATTTTTTCTCGTTACATAGGATTTCCCGGTGATCTGGACGTCAGCGTGACATACACTCTGGTGGAACAAGGCTTGTCGGTAACAATGGAAGCCGAAGCTCTAAACAAACCAACGCCAGTAAACCTCGTTCAACACACCTACTGGAACCTCGGCGGCCACAACAGCGGCGACATCTTGTCCAACGAGGTCCAAATCTTCGGCTCCAACATTACCCCAATCAAATCCGACAAAATCCCCACTGGCGAAATCACCTGCGTCCAAGGCACACCCTACGATTTCCTCAAACCCACAATCATCGCCGCCAATTTCGCCGACATTCCCTCGGGCTACGACATCAACTACGTCCTCGACGGCGGCGATGGGTTGAAGACGGCGGCGATCGTCCACGAAATGAGGTCCGGGAGAGTGATGGAGGTGCTTACCAATCAGCCTGGTATGCAGTTTTTTACTGCTGATTTTATCAAGGATTTTGTGGGGAAAGGTGGGTTTGTTTATCAACCTAATGCTGGGTTGTGTTTGGAGACTCAAGGGTTTCCTGATGCTGTCAATCATCCCAATTTTCCTTCCCAGATTGTTTTTCCCGGAAACAAGTATGTGCATCGTATGCTTTATAAGTTTTCGACCAAATGTTAGAAGAAGAATCTTGAATTTGATTGTTTTGGGAATTTTTTCGAATCTATTTGTGGGTTGAAGTTGGTCCGGAGATGGTTGGTCGGGTTGGATATAATATGTAATTGTTCACGAAATGAAAAATGAAAAGAATAAATTCGTGCATTGAAAAATTTATGGACAGAGAAACAATTGTCAATTTCATCATCAAAGAATAAAATAATACTTCGCTGTTCGGGTTAAATTATAAAAATAAAAAATAAATAACTTATATTGTTTTATAACGGTGTTCTGAAACTTGGTTTGAATGTTTTTTTATTTTTTAAATAATTAAAAACTCACATTTAAACGATTATTATTTTATTTTATCTTTTATAATCATCAAATTAATTATATAAAAAAATTAACAACTATCATTTAAAACATGAGAAAATTAGTCTAAGGTCTCTATCCTATTTTTAATAATGGAGGAGATTCACAATATTATTTTGTGATGTCTACGGTCCCTCAACCTTAACACCCATATATCAGAGCATCTCCAATGCACTAGGCATATAATACTTATTAGTTAAAATGCCTAGTGTGATTCACTTTTTTCAATTCCAACGCACTAGGCATATGATTAGGCATTTTGGCTCAACTCATATTCACTAGCTACATGTAGCTAGCCTTCAACGCTAGGCAAAATGTATTCAATCATTAGGATCATTTCCCTCCATCTTTGTTGTTGACGTGGCATTCTATAAAATTAATAGTATTTAGATTAATGGCTAAAATAAAGAGCATTGTTGGAGTAAAAACATAAAACAGTTGATAGGCAAAATAAAATATATACTTTATAGTAATATTTAGATAGGTAAAATGCCTATTACCGTTGGAGATGCTCTCACAGAGAAATTTGATTATCTTAAATCAAATCGGTCTCTCCTTCTCTCTCTCTTCTCTTCTCTTCCCAATGAACTCCATCTCCATCGCCGTTACCGACAGCTCTTTCTTATCATTACATCTCCTCCCGCCGCCGCTGCCATCTTCTCCCACCTCTCCTTTCGCGGTCGTATATATTCTATCTTTCTCTCTCTCTGATTTTTCCCTATTTTGTTTTCTTTATTTTCTGCAATATAGTTGACGCAAATATGTATTTGTTAAAAATCTATCTCATGAACAATGTGATTTCGGTTTGTTTAACAATTTTGTGTGGTGTTGGTGGGTCTTAAAAGATTTGGGGATATTGAGTTCTTGAATTTCGGATTTAAAGTTTTAGTGTTTGAGGAGTTGTATATGTATTATGTATATGGATAAATGCAAACCATAGTAAAGCTAGATACTATTTTCCTTGAACTCTTCATTACTGTTTCTTGAAATCCAAAAAAAAATCTAGAGAAATTCTTTAGGCTGAAATCCAGGAAGTCTAGAGAAACTTTCTGGATATATGTATATTGGTTGTTGTTGTTACTTATTTGAGTGATCGATTTGTGTATTGCACATCGTGATTAGGAAGACAGATAAATTTTCTGGTGTTTCTTGAACTCTTCATTACTGTTTTTTGAAATCCCGATAAAATCTCATAGAAAATCTAGAGAAAATCTCTAGATTAGAATCCAGAGAATTTCTCTGGCTTTCCTATGGACAAATGCAAATTATAATGAAGTCAGATGCTCTGTTCCTTGAACTTTTCATTACTATTTCTTGAAATCTAAAGAAAATCTCTAGAATGGAATTTAGAGAATTTCTCTGGCCTTTCCAGAATTTTTCTGGAGAGATTCTCTGGGAAGTGCAGAGAAATTCTCTGGATATATGTATATTGATTGTTGTTATTGCTTATTTTGGTGATCGATTTGTGTATTACACATCGTGATTGGGAAGGCAGAGAATTTTTTTGGTATTTCTTGAACTCTTCATTATTGTTTCTTGAGATCCAGAGAAAATCCTTAGAAATCCAGAGAATTTCTCTAGCCTTCCCATGGACAAATGCAAATCACAGTGAAGGCAGATGCTCTGTTTCCTGAACTCTTCATTACTGTTTCTTCAAATCTAGAGAAATTCTTTGGAAAGTCAGAGAAAATCTCTAGACTGGAATCCAGAGAATTTCTCTGGGAAGTCTAGAGAAATTCTCTGAATATATGCATATTGGTTGTTGTTGTTGCTTATTTTGGTGATCGATTTGTGTATTGCACATCGTGATTTGGAAGATATAGAAATTTTCTGGTTTGAATCCAGAGAAAATCTCAAGAAATCTAGAGAGAATCTCTGAACTGGAATCCAGAGAATTAACTAATGCCCCGTGAAATGAGAAACTATGTTGTTATGAAGAGTTTTGACAACATGGTAAAAAGTCAATTTTTTTATTTTTTGGCTTTTTTAAGTCATATTATCTTTTTATTTTTTTTACACAAAAAAATTTAAAAAATCTCAAAAAAAAAAAAAAAACACACTAAAAAGTCAACTTTTTATCCATTAATCTATATGGAGTAAATGCTTTTGAAGGTCAGTAGTTTCATTTAAATGTTCTATGGTACTGTTGATTTTTTTTATATTATCGTTTATTATAATTAATAGACTTAATTAACAATTGAATAAATTACATTTTTTTCTTTTGGTCTTTGTAGTTTTATTTTAATTTTACTTTAGTTTATAAATTGTTTTAAATTGAATAATTTTATTTTTAAACTTTAAATTTAGTTTTATAAATTGTTTTAAATTGAACAATTTTATTTTTAAACTTTAAATTTAGTTTTAATTTGGTTATTCCATTTAAATTAGAGGTTAAAATTGATTTTATGACACTTATTACTTCCTAAGGTGTACACGTGAAAAAAGTTAATGGGAAATTATACACAATGATCAAATTAAAACTGAATTAAAAGTGTGAAAAAAACAATAATAGGGATCAAAATGAAATTTGAACTAAACTATAAGAGTAAAAAAGTGTAATTTACCCTAAATAATTTATTTAAAAAAAAATTAAGCAAGAGTAGTGATATTTTAGCCCAAAAGTTAAACCCACTTTTCAAATTCAAGGACAAATTACACTAACAGTTCCTATAATTTGGGACTCATGTTACTTTGGTCACTGACTTTTCAATTATGATACATTTGATCATAATTTTCGAATCTTATTCTAAATAAGGACAATTGAAAATATCATTACTCAATTTCAAGAGCAAAGTCGTCAATTTGATAAAATATAAATTAATTTGACAAAAATAAAATGTCAAAAAATATTTTGAAAATTTTAAAAACTATTTCTATCCACAAAAAATAAAATTTTGTAAAATTAATAAATGTTTTACACATTTATTTATTACTAAATTAATTTTTATTATGTGTTTGAATGATGATCATGTAATGGGTGGTTATTAGCCTTTTAATATGTAATCGATATATTTAATATATGAAATACTTTTAGTTTTGAATTTTTGAATTTAATGGATTGATTTAATAATGATATCAAAGCTGTTGTCATATTTGACTTTTCAAAAAATAGAAACTAATTTAATGAAAATAAAAAACCACTCATTACATGATCATCATCAAAACAAATAATAAAAATTAATTTGGTAAATAAATAAATAAATGTGTAAAAGATTTATCAATTTTATATAATTTTATCTTTGGTGGATAGAAATAATTTTTAAAAATTCAAAAATATTTGTTTGACATTTATTTTTGTTAAATTAGTTTATATTTTTATCAAATTGATAATATTGCCCTTAAAATTGAGCAATAGTATCTTCAATTGTTTTTATTTGCAACAAGATTTAAAATTCAGAATTAAATGTGTCACAATTGAAAAGTCATGGATCAAAGTGACACGAATCCTAAACTGTAAGGACTGTTAGTGTAATTTGTCCAAAATTCAATGCTGTGATAGATTATTATAATCTCTCTCTCTCTCTCTCGTCTTATTTAATTATCAGTCAATTATCACTTTTACACATCACTTAGTTTTATTTTAGAGTCTAGATTGCCTCTAGTTCTGATATGGATTAGAAGGTGTTGTCGGGACCCTTATAGCCTATCACGGGTCATATTTTTATAATCTAAACCGTTCATTTTATAGAAATTTTCATATGTATTAGAGCATCCATATTAGCTTCACCAAATGTAGTTTTTGGTTAAATATAGCTAGCAAATCATACAATTCTTGTTCCATCAGTCTCAGCAAATTATTTCTATACTAGCTTTTGGTTGAATTTGCTACAATATCTCAACTCATTAGTTATTCAATAATTTATTATTTTTTTGAGAGAGGTTAATCTATTTTTTTGTACTTTCTCACCCACGGGACATCCTCCCGGATGTCTACCCAGATGTCCCTGCAGAGAAGGAAGTTTAGCTGAGTTTTGGCATGATCGGTCGACCGCCTCTCAGTGGGTTTACCTCCTTCGGCTGTTGCTCTCTGTTGCTATTATGGCGCACTAAAAAAAATATATTTAAATTAAAAAAGATAAAAGAATAAAAAATAATATTTTAATAAAATAGAATTTTAGAATAGAGAGTTTGATGGAATGTGTACTAGGGATGGCAATGGATAACCTACCCTGGGTTTGCCTCCTTCAGCTGTTGCTCTCTGTTGCTGTTATGGTGCACTAAAAAAAAATATATTTAAATTAAAAAAGATAAAAGAATAAAAAATAATATTTTAATAAAATAGAATTTTAGAATAGAGAGTTTGATGGAATGTGTACATAAAAAAGAGGTTAGCTAAAATACAAAAATGAATTTTAAGTTATAATTTGGCTTAAAATTTACTAAGATTGATACGGATGCTCTTTGCCTACTAAGAAAATTAGGCCGATTTGATATGGGTAACATGTTCAATTTAACCAATTTGTCAAAAAAAAAAATGGTCCATTTTGAAAAATAATTTGTTTTCCATTTTTTATATGGACAAATATAATAAATTAAATAAGTTATAATGATCAAATTAATATAATTTTCATATAAATGGTGGTTTGAATTTTTTAGGCAAAGTTTGGGAAGACTAAATAAGTGTACTTTTTGACTTTTTATGAAACATGGATTAGATTTAGGTTGGGTTTGAAGTGATGTGTTAGAAAGGTGATGTGATTTAAATAGGATAATAACTTTTTAACTTTTTAACTTTTTAAATTTTTTGAAAGATGTCAAACTTGACCTTAATCCAGATCTTAGACCCAAAGGAAGACCCGTTTTTATTTTAGTTCTCCTTTTTGTGAAAAAAACTTTTGGAGTGCTTAAGTCATTTTCGCTGTACCAATTTTCTGGATAAACCTCTCTTTTCATAGCTGCTTCAAAATTAAAAGCATTAGATTCACTTTTCTTGCTTTATATATATGCCTAAAAAATGCTTGGGAGCACTAATTAGTGCTCCCACTAATTAGGTGATAGTGGGTCCCGTCATGAATGATGTGATGTTTTGATTTTGGAATTGTAATTTTTTTTTATTTTTTTTATTTTTTTAATGCATTAGTGCTATTAGTGGTGACATTTTTAGTGGGATGAATCATTGTTGATATACCTATACCCGTAGAAACCCATTCACTCCTCGTTTTTCATCTCACACCATTCCTTTGAACCAAAAGAGAGAGAGAAAGAAAGAGAAATAAATAAATGTCGAAAATCTCTGTATTGTTCTCCTTCACAATTAAAATCTCTGTATTGTTCTCCTTCACAATTATTGCTGTTTGGGTTTTTGCAAATTGTTCAGAATCAAAGCTAGATGTTGGGATTTATGAGCTGAAGAGAGGAGATTTCTCTCTCAAGCTCACCAACTGGGGTGCTACCATTGTCTCCCTTGTTCTTCCTGATAAACATGGTATGTCCCATTTGTGAAATCAGTTGTTTATACTTGTATGTATAATTTCTATATTTTCTCAATGATTCTTTTTTTTTCTTTTCTTTTCTTTGCGGTGTTTTTTTCAGGAAAGTTGGCGGATGTTGTTCTTGGGTATGATTCAATCAAGGACTACATGGTGAGATTTCTCTTCTTTTTAGTTTTACAGAGAGAGAGAGAGAGAGAGAGAGAGATTGCTCTCCCCTCTGATTTCTACTTACTTCCCAGAAAAAATTAGAATTCGACATTGGTCTATGGAGAAAGATTACTCTTTTCCTTCTGATTTCTACATTTTTCCTTTCCAACAGAAAATTATTGACACTTCTCCTTCCCTTCCTCTCTGAAACACACACACACCCACACACAGAAATAACCCTTGTTGCTTTACTGTAAAGGCCTGTTTGGATGGGTGATTTGGTGAGAATTGAAAAGAAATGAAGAGAAAGATCACTCTTTTGTTTGTAAATTTGGTGAGAAATAGTGAGAAATTAAGAGAAATGGCGAAAAAGAGAACTCTCTTATTTTGTTTATTTCATTTCTTACTAAAAGTGATGAGATTTGTTGAGAAATCAAAATTATATCTCACTGATGTCCAACTCTTACATGATTTGCTTTTTTACCCATCTAAATATAATAGTGAGAAACAAAATCATTTTTTCTTTTCCTTGAGGGACTGTTATTGTATCTACATATTTTATTCGGGAGAATCTGATCTTATTTGGACATGATCTTTGATTATATCAATCAATTTGACTCTTCCATTTTGTTTTTATCCGTATGGTTGAAAGATCAGCCAACAGATAAGATAAACCCATATTCTGATTTTTAATTATAAATATATTAATATATAAATGAAGGCCATTTTGACATGTTGTGGTGGTGTATTGCTAGTTTGTATAAAATAGGGGTGCCCTTAGTACAAAATTTTACTAGTAATGGGCAATTTATTTCCTTGGAAATTATTAGCTTGTAAGGTCAAAAATTTCAGCGAACAGTTAATGTTCATAATTGACACATTGTCCATTTCCATGCTTTTTTGTCAAATGTCAAACACATGCTTTGGATTTTTTGACCAAAATTTATGAATACCCAAATGACGAAATTTTGAAGTTTTAGCTAACAGTCATGGTTTGTAGAGTTATTCAATTCAACATCTTCTTACAGTCTGAAAATTCAAGAATTTTCATTTAGACTTGGGAAGAAAATTGCTTTTTTTTCTTTTTTTTTTTAATGCATATTTTGATACCCAAATTTTGGGATGTTAAAAATTCCTCAATGTTGTACACGAGAATTGAAGTTTTTTTTTCTTCTTAGATGTCGGAAATGTGTGTCCCTTGGAATTTAGGCAATTGAAAGTGAATGTTTAAGGGTTGAAGAAGCATATATGGACATTTTATTAGTGCAGAAGTTACAATAGATAAACGATATTTGCAAATTTTTTAATGGTGAGGGTTTCTCAGCAAAACCCTCAAGTACTGTTACTTATTCTCATTTCTTAAAGGGTTCCTCTAATTTTATTTTGCTATCTAACAAGTTGAAGGTGTTGCAACCTAGAGATATTTTGTCTGATTTGATGTTTGTCTTTTTTTGTATGAGACTTAAAAGTCATCTAAATTGACTGAATGGTCTACTTTCTCTTAAATTAAATGGCATTTTGTTTGATATTAACATGTGATTTGTTTTCTTATGGAAGAGGCATTATGCATATACCTAGCTAATGTGTTATATTCATTCTGCTTTCTTTAACATGTAATTTTATTAACTAGTGTTTGTTGACGAAGTCTAGAATGCTCATATTTTAACCAGCAATATTATTATAAATTTAGTCCATTGTTGTTTTCAATGTTTTAATAGGACATGAGTATGTAATGTAAGCAAGCAAGAAATGTCAGTAAACATTAATTAAGATTTTAAAAATGGGGTGTTGTTGCTGAGGGAATATAATTTGTTTTCTATATTATCCATGGTGTTCAACTGGGTAAGGTCTCTCTCTCTCTCTCTCAGGATGATATAATTGTCACTTTCTTAGAACCAACAAAGAATAATGATCCACCAATGCACCTCTTATGGGTCCCTCGTCAACGTGTAATTTGAGCTCTCCATTATTATATATGTATATAGATGTTATATGCTTCGGTGCTGGCTCTTCATCATTATGCTGGCAAATTATTGAGCTCTGTTAGTTTATGTTCGCGGCTTTGTTTTTGAATTATAATTTTTTTTTTTTTATGATACTCTCTTGATGATGTACTTGTTGTTTTCTCTAGAACGACACAACATATTTTGGTGCCACGGTTGGACGTGTTGCGAACAGGATTGGGGGTGCTCAATTTACTTTAAATGGAACACATTATAAGCTAGTTGCTAATGAAGGGAAAAACATGCTTCATGGTACATATTTCCTTAGAAATTTATTCCATTTGAGGAGGAAACAGAGAACTTTCATGTTTTTTGTGTGTGCATATTTTAATCTTTTTTCTTTGTCTTCTTTCGATGATATTATGAATACCAGGTGGGTCCATAGGATTCAGTGATGTCGTTTGGAAGGTGAAAAATTACCATGATGAAGGTCATTCACCTTATATCACCTTTAGCTATCACAGCTTTGATGGTGAAGAAGGTGGGCATTAATATTTATCGACTCTTTCTTTATCTCCATTTCCGGTTGTCTTCAATTGTGTACACTTGTTACTGTCAATCTTGAATAATATATGTATAGAATTCAACTAGATAAAAGTAACAAACTGACTAATTTAATGTAATATAATTGGTTTGCTATGATAATAGACATTAGACAAATTGATTTTTGTTATTTTGGATCAGCAGTAGACAAATTGTTTGATGAAGTACTATATACCCATCATATGATCAGAATATAAGATGTACCAAACTATCTAATCAAATAAAATTATGTATCACAATCAAAGTTTTAAATAACGGTATCAGGCAATATTTTTTTTCTTTTTTGTTGAATAGGCAATAGTTGATATCAGATAGTATTAGCCGATATATTGGTGAATAATGATATTAGAAGTCCAAAATCACGTTACGTGCTAATATTTAAAAAACCCTGATCACAATTAAGCATGGACTTACCTATGCAATTCCATTTTTTGTGTCATACAGGATTTCCCGGTAATCTTCTTGTCACCGTGACCTATGCCCTTGTTGAACAAGGTATGTCTGTGACAATGGAAGGCAAAGCTCTAAACAAGGCCACTCCAGTGAACCTAGCACAACACGCCTATTGGAACCTTGGTGGCCACAATAGCGGTGACATCTTGTCTAACGAGATCCAGATATTTGGGTCCCACATAACTCCTGTCGACAAGGGGCTCATTCCCACTGGAAAAATTGCTTCTGTGAAGGGTACACCCTATGACCTCCTTGAACCCACCACCATTGCAAGCAAAATCAATAAGCTTCCTAATGGTTACGATATCAATTATGTCCTTGACCGTGGTGATAGCAAAAGGTTGAAGAAAGCTGCCATGGTGCACAATAAGAAGTCGGGAAGAGTAATGGAGCTATTTACTAATCAGCCCGGTATGCAGTTTTACACCGGTAACTTTATCAAGGACGTGAAGGGGAAAGGTGGATTTGTTTATCAAGATCATGCCGGTTTGTGTTTGGAGACGCAAGGATTTCCTGACTCGGTGAACCACCCTAATTTCCCTTCCCAGATTATTTTTCCTGGAAAGAAGTACAACCACCGTATGCTGTTCAAGTTTTCAACCAAGGCTACATAAAACCTTCCGAGTCAAGAATTATATTTTTAGAATTTTACAAATCATCTGTTACGAGCCTTGAAATAGGCGAGAAGATGATGTTTTTTAATTTACTTTCCTTTTTCTCTGTTGTTTTCTCCCTCTGTTCAGAAAAATTTGCCGAAAGCGATTGAATAATCTTGGCCTAATAATGTTAGAACTTCAGAGGAAGTGGAAAAACTTGAGCATGTTGTTTTCTTGTTAAAGCTTTTGTGTTTGGACAGTTTTAGATTTTGATTCTTTCACAAAAGATTTCTGGGTTCTCTGAATCAAATCCAGAAACTATTTTGGAAATGATAATTCAATAGTGGATACTAGCAGTTTGTGTTTCAATACAAGTTCTTGAGTTGGCATGAATTTTGTTGTAGAGTTTGTGGACATTCATGGACGGTAGGAATGGCAACAGGGCGGGGCGGGGCCGGGGATCACCCTCTCCGTCCCCGATCCCCGACGGGGAACCTATTACCATTCCCGTCCCCTAACGGGGATCGGGTTTCCTCGACCCCGAAAGTTCCCCGGATCAAACGAAAAAAAAAAAACAACAACAACAACAAAACAAAACAGTAGCAACAAGAACAACGATTCAAACAACATCATCAACATCAATATCATCAAACAACATCAACAACACACAAATCTGAGTAAAGAGAGATAGATCTAAGTAGAGAGATAGAGATAGATCTGAGCTGCAATCTAATATATATATATTTATATATATGTGTGTGTGTATATATAACACAAAGAAAGAGAGGCGGAAAGAGTTGGGCGGCAGAGGAGCTCGCGGAGGAGGGCGGCGAAGGAGATCGGCACGATGGCAGAGGAGGGCGGTAGAGGAGCGGCGCTGTGAGATCGGCGGAGGAGGGGCGCTGTGCTGTGAGATCGGTGGAGGAGGGGCGCTGTGCTGTGAGATCGGCTCTTCTCTCTCTCTCTCTCTCATTCCTCATTTTTCTCACGCGAAATGAAGCCGTGTGTGTGTGATTGTGAGGGAGCATAGCAGACAAATATATATAGACAGGGGTAGAATTGTAATTTTATTTCGGGGGAAAAACGTGGCCGGTCTGGGGCTGGGACATGTATCCCTGTCCCTGGCCCGAACATCATCGGAGATTTTTTTTTGAATACCATCCCCGGCCCGTGAGGGATATTTTTCGGGGAATGACCGCCCAATTCGGGGTCGGAGGGTCGGGTCACCGTTGGGCCGGTTTCAGATTGCCATCCCTAATGGACAAAGAGATATGAAAGATGGAGATTAATTTGTGTGCGGGGCACAAACTGAGAGATTGACTATCTTTGGAATTGGGAGTTTTATACTATAATTTCCAATTTTCACCAATGAATTTGGTTTTAGATAAAATTTAGTTTTATTTAGGCTACGTTTGAATTATAAATTTTGATAGAGATTTGAAAACGAAAACGAAGAAAGTAAGTAAAATGTAATCTCTAATTTGCACCAACAAATTTGGTTTTAGATAAAAATTTAGCTTTTATTTAAAATTGTGTTTGGATCATGTAGGTAATGATTTGGAGAGGAAAAAAGAAAAGATAAATGAAATATTAATGAAAATCACCTTTTCTATTTTTATTTCTAAATTCATGATCCAAACACAACGATTTGTTAATGATTTGTTAATGAGTGCAATTAAAGCACTTAATAATATGACATAGCCTGTAACATACAATGTATAATTAATTTAAACATTATTAACTAATGTTCTTAAGACACTTGTTAACCAAATTTTTTATTTAATTCAGTTTTGCCTTCCTATTTCCCCTTTTTTTGTAAATCCCTCGTCAAATTCTTAAACCAAACGCAATCTAAAAGTTGCCTAGAGTCTAAGGATTCGTTTGGGAAGTGAATTTTTAGTGATTTTTGACTAAAATATGAGGAAAAAAATTTGAAATATTTAATAATAATTTTCTGATTTTTTACGAAAAAAAAATATAGAGTAGAAAGAAATCTTTAAATTATTTTAATAATCTTTTAAGCTTTTAACTAAATTATCCCATTGCCAAATCCCTGCTAAATAGCCCATCTAATTTTTAAGTGCTTATCATTATTGACTTTTTTATTTTTATTTTTCCGTGTTGGTTTGTATATATAGAGGCTTATGATTTTTATTTTTATTTTTATTTTTAGACAACTCGCATTCAGCTTATTGGATGTATTAATTCAGAACCAATTTCATTGTTCATTTGCGAAAGTCTGTCCAATTATTAAAGGTGAAAAAAAATCCTCTATGAATTGAACCTCAAAAATTATTTACACCAAAAATGTTTTTTAAAATTTGAGAGCTTGGATAGAAAACAACCCAATCGAGGCTAGAGCACCATACCAACCTAGGGTGATATGGTAAGGCTTCAAAGCCCAATTATATATAATTGTTCCTCAAAGATATCACATGCAATCCGATTGATTGAAACATGGCTCTGCTATTTCCTTCATTTTCTTTGCTTGGAATACCCCCCAGCTCAGGTCTCTCCATATTCATATATACTTACATAGATTTATACTTTAGTTGAACTTGATTATGTACTGAATCACGTATCTGCATAGAGAGATCACTGACTCAATTTTGATAGTGTGCTTTGTTCTTGCCAATCAGGGAAATGGAAAAGTTACCGATTGATTGATTATCGTGACAAGAGAGGTCGGTTTCGGGCCAATTCTAATTCTTGTGTGGCTCTGTGTGCGTCTTCTTCTTCTTCAATGTCGGTGTCGAAGAAGCTGGTGTGGATTTGGACTCAGAACAAGCATGTCATGACGGCCGCTGTCGAGAGAGGCTGGAACACCTTTGTCTTCCCCTCGCATTGTCGAGACCTTGCCAATGAGTGGTCCGGTAAGCTTTTCTCAACTGATTAGGGCTTTTTTGTTTGTTAGATCTTGCTTTTCGTTTGTTTCTATGTGTGATTGTTGTTCATGCTTCGTCCTTCTTCAATGTTGAAATTGTTGTTGGGGTTTAGATAGAGAAAATTTAAACCTAAAGCTTCAAGTAGCTAACATTAACTTTTTTCTTTCTAGTTGCTTTATTTAAACACTAGTTTGAAACTCTGAAATAGGAAAATATCCCTAATGCTATGTTTGGTAAACTGAATTGAATGTGAAATGGAATGGAATGCTCATTTGTCAACCTCGTTCACTTACAACGGTTAATTATGATTCCAATTGCAATGTAATTTTCTTGATTTTTTTTTTTAGTGAACCAAATGTGAGAACGAATGTTATGATGGAATGATCATTCCATCCTATCTTCATTCCCGTGAACCAAACACTATCAGAGAGAGATCGAGAGGAGGAGGGGGGAGACATGCAAGGGTTTGCTGCAGTTATGATCCATGTGATCATGTACTGTCAGCTTTTTTTATCATACAATCTATTTTTTGTGAAAATGAACTTTTACTATTTGATTAATGTAATTGTAGAGATAATATAGACAAAATAATTAATATCATTTAACCATTTTAGCTATTTCATTTCGTACAAAAACATTCAATGGTTGAATTATTTTGACAAATGTTCCGAAAATGTTTGTTGAATCAGATGGTTAATGTTCTTTGGACCAAACTGAATTGTTTTAAAAGTAATGCATCTAGGCAATTCTATGTAATGGTAGATCTTGATTGTTCAAAAATTAAATAAAACTGATGTAAAATGGAGTAACAATATAAAGTGCACACTACTTGACAGGAGCAAACCTCAACCCCAAAAAGACCATTCTTTCAGGTAAAGTCATGTCATGGGGGAGGCTAGTCATTGTACATTTGTCCACTCACTTTACCAATACGCATGCATGCATATTTTGTCCTGTAAATTTGATAACTGAAGCCATGACTAACAACTACAGCACCAAAAGAGATATGAGAAAGCTATATTAAGAAGATGTTGAAGCGGACTTGTATTTCTTTACCCATTCTTCTGGCTATGCTAGTGTTTTTTTATTTATTTTTAAATCACTTCCTTCCACCAGACCACTAACTTCAAAAAGACTTTCCACAAAAATTCAGCTTGGAATGAATTTGGCATACCATGAACTGTAACACCCTTGACTGCTGTACATGTACTTCTTATAAAAATGTTTATACACCACTCTCTATAGGCCTCAACTATCCAAAAGACTTGATTACATTCAGTTGCTCATTCTATCAGTGATTTAGGCCAAGTATCCTTGACTTCATAACCCTTCATCAACATGTTACTTTTTTTGGAGGGGATATTTGGTTTGATTTTTCAGTTATAGCATGCTTAAGCTACTCTATGCAAGTGTCACAGTAAGCTGAATGGTTTTTGCTTTGTATGCCTGTTGTAACACTTGCGCTTAAGGAAAATTCTAGTAATGTCCCGTGCAGCTTTGTTGGACACTACGCGAATGCACAATAGGCTTATCCTCTACCAATGATCATAATCTGTCTCTATTTCTTTTATTCAAAAGATCTAATAGCATCTCTCAACCCCTTACCCTGGGCCACAACCCAACTGACAAACAGACACAAAATATCGATGCACACTACCTTGCAGCTATACATGCATAAGGTTTTTCCAGAGAGAAGTTTTAAGTTATTTGGTTGACGCAATGGCTTCACAAATTTTATTCACTAAATAAGCATAAATATCTTTCGCCAAATATGTAGGACAACTTTATGTCAACGTGGAGGAACCTATTGACAGAATATGCATATTTGCATGTCAGATATTGGCATGGAAACTTACAAACTTTTTGGTCTTTATTTACTTCTAAAATGTGTAGGAAAAGTGTCTGTCCTATGAATTTTATGAGTATATCATGTCTATCATAGTTATATGACTTCCAAAACACTTTTTGCTTGGGGAAGCATGAAGCATGTTTTGCTGCTCATTAAATGACCAAAACTTTCCGAGTTTCAACCATAGACATCTATAGTTTATTTATTTTATTTTTTTTTGATAAATTAGACATCTATAGTTTTCCTGCTCACACACAGCTTATATATTCGACAAACACACACATTACATCTATTGCCATTAGCCATGCCTGGATTTTTGTGAACTACTGTACTCGACTCGACACCTCCTACCAATTTGAAGCATATTACTCTTCAATGCCACTACAGAAATGTTCAAAATTTTAATTGTGTTGTATTGGTTGTCAAATCTACAGCTATGGCATTGATACATCCTCTCTTTATAGAAAAAGGAGAGCTACTTGATAGTGAGCACAAAAGAGTTGCCACTTTTTCTGAGATTTCTTCTCCTGACCAATTAGAGCAGCTCCAACCAGAGGATGAACAAGCAGAGAATATTATTGTTAATTTACTGGATTGGCAGGTACGCCCATCAATAATTACTTGGTTAGTTCATTGGCTTGCCTTTATTTACTGCATGCTGACTTTCTATGCATATCTATGGACTGCTTTTTTGTAAAGTTGATGAAGTTACAGAGGGCATCATATATGTTGGGAGCACTGGTGAAAGAATTTACCTGTTTTCTCAATTCATTTTGATGACTCTATCAAGCTGTTGTTGACATAACTTCTAAAATCATATCCACACTGTCAATGATTTTGATGTTACATTCATTATGATTTTTCAGTTAACATTACCATGTTGATTATACTAGCTCTTCTTCAATTAATTTATAGGTTCTCGCCAAAATCCTGTACTTGGCATTTTTTTTTTTTTTTTTCCCTTTCCTTTTCCAGCTTGAGTACTGTAATGATATTTTGCATGTTCTTCTGTCTGCTCAATGCAACAGTGGTCATTTTGTGTACAATGATCCCTAATGGAATAGGCTATTTCAATAACTTTTTGGCTAAAATATAAGGTGAAAAAAATTAGTATGTTTGGGATATTTTTTGGTTTTTACAAAAAAATGTGCAAAATGTAGAGAAGAAAGGGAATCATTGACTTTTTGGTTTAGTACTTTGGCTTTTTGGCATTTTTAGTGACTTTTTGACTATTTTTTGAAGTTCCAAAACCAACCCGCAACATAATCATTTTACTTTTTTTGCTAATTTCTTTTTATCAGTTAGCATATGCATAGGTGGATGAAAATTTTAAGTCGGTTGTTAGAAAATATACACAATTATCCTCTTTAATGGATGTCTTTCTTAGGTGATACCTGCAGAGAATATTGTTGCAGCTTTTCAAAGCAGTCAAAAAACAGTATTTGCCATCTCAAGAACCCCCGCTGAAGCTCAAATTTTCCTTGAGGTAACTTGTAGATACTCGCGAGTGAAAGACTTAACAAGGAGCTCATAAATGATCCCAGAAATTCTTCAGTATTGTCATTTTCTGTAATTGTGAATTTAGCTCTTTAAATGCAGACTATACACTTCCATGCTTCTGCTTTTGTAGGCCTTGGAGCTAGGTTTAGGTGGAGTTGTTTTAAAAGTTGAGGATGTCAAGGCTGTCCTTGAGCTGAAGGTAATACCCATCTAGGGTAGGGTAGGGCTTCTTAGCTAGTGAAAGCAATGCTCCTTATCAATGGTAATATTATCAGGACTATTTTGACAGAAGAAATGAAGCAAACAATCTATTAGACCTGACCAAAGCCACTGTAACTCAAGTTCAAATGGCTGGAATGGGTGATCGAGTTTGCGTGGATCTCTGTAGCCTCATGAAACCTGGTGAAGGACTTTTGGTTTGCTCCTAGTATCCTATCTATATTTCTTTGTGCTTTTGATCTATTTTTACTCAACTCCCATTAACCATATATTACTCGACATTTTTATTGCATGAGTATTTTTATAGGTTGGATCTTTTGCGAGAGGGCTATTCCTTGTTCACTCAGAATGCTTGGAGTCCAATTATATTTCCAGCAGGCCTTTCCGAGTCAATGCAGTGAGTTTTTCCATGGAATAGCTGAGGATTTGTTTGTTTTGATGCATCAGTTGCCATCACAAGTTAATGAATGGTGTATTCAATTAATTTCACATTTTTTCCCCTTTCCATGAAATGGCTAGAAATTAGTAAAAATTATATAAAACTGCATTTATGTTATTTCTCAGCTAATGTTGTTTTAAATGATCTATTTTTTTCCTCATCTAATCTGCTCCGATGAGTCTAGTTTTTCCTTACTTAAGTTGCCTTTCAAGGATTTCAAGAAATTCACCATCTCCAGTACTGCCTCCTGATAGAGAGTTAAAAAAAAAGAAAGAAAAAAGAGTGAAGATCAAGAAGCAGAATAAAATAATGTTGTTATGTTGTGACTTATTGTACATGACATATTTGCGCCTCAAATTTTAGGGTAGTTGAGATCAAATTCATTCAACACCATATGTGACATTATGGAAAATCTTTGGTAGCTCAAATTGAGCTGCCCTGAATGGCTTGAAATACTGTACACCAGTCGATTGGCCGGACGATCGGATGAAACACTTGTCTACTGCGGTTGTCACTTTGTCAGCCTTTTTGCCGGATGACCGGCAAGATGAAATTCGAGCCATTTGGGCCAAGCTCAAATTCGAGCTAAACAGCATTACTCGAAGATTATTATGCCAGCAGAGTTTGTAGTTTTCTTTAGTTAAAATGGGTCTAGAGACCTATGCTCTGCTGTGAGGCATATAAGCCCACTTTATTTTCCTGAGAAATTACATGAAATTCAGTTGGTTGGGGAATTATGTAACTTCTATTTATTTATAAATGAATTGCTTATCATTGTGTTCCAAACATGAGATCGCTGGGAAATGTATGGTCATTTTCCCATATGTTGTTTCCTAATATTGCTGTTGCTTGAAAACTTACAGGGGCCTGTGCATGCCTATGTTGCTGTTCCTGGAGGAAAGACCTCCTACCTTTCAGAGTTAAAAGCAGGCAAAGAAGTAATCGTGGTTGATCAAAGCGGTAGGCAACGAACTGCAGTTGTTGGGCGTGTGAAGATAGAAACTAGACCACTAATCCTCGTTGAGGCAAAGGTTGGTTACCTCGATATACCTTAATGTGCTCTCATGCGACGGCCTTTTTCGGCAGCCCCTGCTTCCCATCCTCCTCACCCTCCACCACCTCCAGTGGCCCCCTTTCCGATTAACCTCCCCAGCCCCTCCTTTGTTGTGATCTGCATTCTCACCTCACCCTGCGAAGGTGGCAAGAAGGGCTGAGGGAGGGACGGGGGAGGTTGGGGAGTGGCTGAGGAAGAGACCGGGGTGGCCTGGATGGGCTGGGAAGGGCCTGGCAAGGGCAGGGAGGGTTGCTGGAGTTGGGGATGGAGGGGGGGAGGGTGCTGGCCAGAGCTGGTGATGGCTAGAGTTGGGGTAGGGTTGTAGTTTGGGAGGTTAGGGATGGGTATAAAATTAGAATTTTATGTCCAGGTAAAATTGGAAAGGTTGGCTAAAGAAGAAAGGCGATTCTTGTATGTCTTTAAGACTATCAAAGGTTAGGTAGCTATGGTGAATTTCTAATATTTTTTAAAACATTTGACACTGCAGAGAGATTCGGATACTCACACTGCTTATAGCATCCTTCTTCAGAATGCAGAAACAGTTGCCTTAATCTGCTCTCATCGAGGTCTATCCTGAACGCATAATTCTTTCAAAGTTTTCTGGACTTTTGTAATCGGATTCATTCTTTTTTTACACTGCAGAAAATGGAAATCCAACTACAGCTATACCCGTGACATCACTCAAAGTTGGCGATGAAGTTCTGCTAAGAATACAAAGTGGTGCTCGACACACGGGAATTGAAATTCAAGAATTCATTGTAGAGAAATGAACAATCAAAGCTAAAAAATTGTAGTGTATGTAACTGGTTTGTCGTGATCAAATGCATGAACATTGTTTCTTGTAATATGATTCTGAGTTCAAAAACAGTTTCTATGAAATTATTGCCTCCAAACATATTTACTTCCAGAACCCTGATCAAGTGTCTAGTTAACTTGGATCTTCAAGAACATAATTTTTGATGCATCTTTTTGTTTTGGGAAAATAAATTTCTAAATTGATTTTATCATAAAACTTAAACTTTCACCATTCACTTATACAAAAACCTAGTCACGAAGAAGTTAAAAAATGTATGGAAACCAAAAAAACAGAGTCACATAATCTTCAACAAAAGATAGTCACAAAATGTAGGCCGGGAAATATTTAAAAAACTAGAAGGAAAAAAAAAAATTCAGATGCAGAACAAAGCCTTCAAATACCAACAGAAGCTAAGGTCACTGTGTGGAAGGGATTGCAGTTGTGGCCGTCTTCTTGAAATCAATCTTGTCAACCTTTACTTCTCCATCAATGAGTTCATAAACATAGACAACGACGCGCAGGCCATCGATGTCCATGAGCACAAAACTTGGGTTCACGTCGTACGTGATGCTGCTGTAGGCACCAGTAGCAGATCCAGGGTTAATAACAACACCACCCTCGTGTTTGTAGGCCTTGAACTGATGGGTGTGACCACTAACAAGAATGTCGACATCTAACTGTCTCTGGAGCATGGCTAGAGAATCAAGGTCTCCCCATGGAACGACCTTCAAAGAATGAAAGGATAGAATGGATTAGTACTTTTGGGTGGGTTAGAATATACAAAATGAAAAAGACGAATAAAAGTAACTAATAGCTGTTGATTCTACTTGGCATTAAAAAAAATGATGAACCAGCAGATCTGGTAAATAGTATGGAAAATTCACACTACCGCTACGTTTGCAACATGAGAACAGTGATAATTAGTTGAAAACTACATAGGGGGTGTTTGGTGGGGCTTTTTTTAGCCAGCTTATAGCTTCTGACTTTTAAAAAGTTATTTTGAACTGTTTAGTTAAACTTATTTCAAACAACTTCTGATTCTAACAACTTATTTTAAGTCAAAAAAACTGATTTTGAGAAGCTGCTCACCCCTTACTTCTGATTATCAACTTCTGCTGTGGACATGTTAATTCATGGTTATACTCTTAGATTTTTTTTATTTTTTATTTTTTTAAAAATAGAAAAAGACCCAAATGGACTATAAAATATTATTATTATTTTTTATGAAAAATGTAGACAAATAGTGAATAATAAAAAATAAAAATTAATTGAAAAAGCTACTTCACAGCTTATTTAACAAACACTACTCAGCAACTTAAATCTATAATTCAACAGCTATACCAAATAGATTAACAGCTTCTGATTAAAGTCATAATCTATAATCTGTTAAACTATAATTTATAATCTGTTTTAATAGCTACACCAAACAGCACCATAATCCATTTAAAAAAGGCAATTTCCCTTTAGCTGGCTTCCTTGATGTTAAGCAAGCCGTCCATTTCTACTTGTCATGGTATGGACACTATTAAAAAGGAGTCATGCTCATGTTAATGCTGACACTTTCTTGGACTCTCCGAAAATAAGTGTTTGATGCAAAATAGTGAATAATAAAAAATAAAAATTAATTGAAAAAGCTACTTCACAGCTTATTTAACAAACACTACTCAGCAACTTAAATCTATAATTCAACAGCTATACCAAACAGATTAATAGCTTCTGATTAAAGTCATAATCTATAATCTGTTAAGGTATAATTTATAATCTGTTTTAATAGCTACACCAAACAGCACCATAATCCATTAAAAAAAGGCAATTTCCCTTTAGCTGGCTTCCTTGATGTTAAGCAAGCCGTCCATTTCTACTTGTCATGGTATGGACACTATTAAAAAGGAGTCATGCTCATGTTAATGCTGACACTTTCTTGGACTCTCCGAAAATAAGTGTTTGATGCATCTTGGAAGTGTCCATAATTTATAAACAAATTTCCAATAATTTCAGGCACACTCTAACAAATGGCATGTGGCATAAACACCCCTTCATAGAGCAATGCCTAAGATTCTTGTAAATGTAACAGGCATGCTCCAAAAGAATAGAATGAAGAAAGAAAGAAAAAAATCTAGTATGCAATGGAAACTTCTAGTAACGGAATACAATGTAGTTGCAAAAATTATAACCTTCATCATCCCTGTAAAGCAATTGTCAAACAAAAAACTATGACAATTTGTCCAACTTATATTTTTGGATAATGCCCTACTTCAAAATTTACTATGTGTCTGTGCCCTATCCTGTTTGAAATCCACATTTCTATTCTATTAAGTTAACCACACAGCATGCAAAGGTTGCAATGACGATGACAGAGTCTCATCCAACAACATCAATTACCATCTTCACTTACATGTCATCCTCAGGTAGAAAGAAAAGGTGCATAATCTGTTTATTTCATTTCAGAAAAAACTAAACAGAGAAATTAATAATGATGTTAGATAAGCGGATGAAGCCAGCCAGCCTATCGATTGTAATATAGATTAGGGTATCATTTGAGATTTTAAAGGAAAAAAAAAAAACAAGAGATGACATGGCTGCCAGTATCCTGGAAAGTGGCATCCCAACCCAACACAGGAAAAAAGGGTATTCCCCATCATTTGGAAAGTAGCATATACTCGCCGTTCAATCTCATTTGTAAAAGACTTTCCTACAGCACTATCACAATCTACTCTCCAAATTCCAAGCAGAGTCATAACACAATAGGCTCATTAATAGTAAGAAATTATCAATAATTGCAGTTATAGTTAAATAAAACATGCAACACATATAGCATCATTTATGCTCATATGTTCTCTCTCAATAATTGCAGTTATAGTTAAATAACACATGCAACAAGTAAATTGGTTTTTTTTCTCACATAACTTGATGTCTACAAAGTCAGGGTAGACACATAAGACAAGTAGCAATTTATAGAATCCCAAAACATAATGACACTATTAGAAAATAATTTCTGATATCAATGATATCTTGGACTAGATGCGTAATAGACATCAAATCTGCAAGGTTCTTTAAAACATACCACTATACTTAAGCAAATAGAAGAAAATAATCAAAACTAGTGACCAATGACCATCATAAACTTCTTAAAATAAGGATAGAAGGAAATTAAACCTGATGACCATGGCATAACCCAAGCTTGAATTGTCCAATCGTAAGTGTTTTCGTTTCTGGGAAACGGGCATCTTCATCATATTCACCTCGTGTAACATGCAAGCTAGGGCAAAGGCTCTTCAAGTAATCATGAACTTCCTGATTTTGAAAACAACAACAAAAGTATGTTTGATTAGAGACACGTGTGTGTGGTTTTAGCAAGATAGACAGAACTATCGAATGCCTGGATTTCTCCTTCATTGTGGGTTCAGTATTGTGTGCCCAAACAGTAGTCTCATTTGTAATGCATGAAGAAAATCATTTGTTAGTCAAATCTCATCTAAGTCTAGAAACACATCTAAAATGCTCCCAGCAATTTGGCCCACACTAGTGCAGGCTTCCTCAGTCTAGGTGGGGTTAGACATTCGGAACTTCAAAATGTCATCTCTCTCTGCCATGCCAACCACTCCACAATTCTCATCTTCATTGCCCACCTAACCAATGTACCATTGGCCACATGCCATCATGCCCAAAACAGCTTTCATTGGCAAGCTGAAGAGACCTTTGTAGGAATGATTTAGCAGCTAGGCCATTAACTATATAACATGATATGAAAGTTTGAAGTTTTCAACTAAAAGCAATCTCCCATGGCTTTATCATGATTTTGCAATTCCAAAACATTATTAAGGCCAAGTTTGGCTATCCTAAATAAGTACAAACTTTTTATCTTTTTTCTATCACATCATCTCTCTACTTTTTTGCACATATTTTCGTAAAAAGACAAAAAGTACGCTTATTTAGGTCATCTCAAACAACCCCTAAGACTATGTTTGGATCATAGATTTGGGTAGAAATTTGAAAAGGAAAAAGAAAAGTGAGAGAAATGTTGATGAAATCCACTACCCTGGCCTTTTCCTTTTCCTTTTCCTTTCCAAATCTCTACCCTACCCAAATCCATAATCCAAACATGACAAGAGATCATAGTGAAGTCAAGCAAAAACCAAACAAACACAACCCATGTTGTGTATATAATTGGGTAAGCATCACTATTCAAAGTGGGTTAAATTGAAAATTAACATAGAGAAAAATGGTAAATAACCAGCAACAGAAGAAAGATAACAGATTGATAAGAAGTAAAGAATTTACTTTGATACAGAGATTGCCCGTGCAAATAATGTGCTGAATCTTGCCAGGAACAAGCATGGATTTGAACTTGGGAGGCAAATCGGGTGCCCTATGTGGGATGTGAAGATCCCCAATTGCCAACACTAACACCATTCTTCTCTTCTTCTACTACAAAGATTTCTCCAGTAAACAAAAACTACTCCACTCCACTCCTCAAATTTCACCACTCATCACAATCTGCACCCAATTATGAACCCAACATAGCTAAGCAAAAACAATCAAGCTATAATCAGCATATCTATTGAAACCCTTTTTTTTTTTGGTAAATGAAAATCTATGTTTCGAATTGATTTCTCAACATCGATCTATTTGATAGGTGTTGGAAAGGTAAAACTAAGATTTTCACAATTCAGAGATCGCCAAGGTCTACGTTTGAAAGCTTAAAATTGTACCCAAAAAAGAAAAAGAAAAAAAGAGAGGTTAAAAATTGGATTTGAGTACATGGGTATGCGTGCATATACATATAACGAAAATAGGATGAATAAGTAGGAATTACCAGTAAAAGGGATTCAATTGAGCGACGAGATCATGAAGAAAAACACCCTTTCTGACTTGTGTCCATCAGAGTTCTCGATCGAACTAGTTCGAGTTCTTATTGGAGCGTGCTGGAGCAGATAACCAAAACGGTGCGTTTTGGAAGGCAAAACTTTCCCCATTTCATAGTTTTAAAATTACGATTTGAGCGTGGTTGTGATTTATGTATAAAATTATAAGTTGAGTTTTAAGAAGAAAAAAATTGTTTGGTTAAGAGTTTGGAAAAGAATTTTGAAAAGAGTTTTTGAATTTAAAAAAGAGTTTTTAGTTTTATTTTTAGTTTTGAGTTTTTGAATTTTGAATTGTATTTTGAAATTTTTTGGATTTATTTTTTTTAATATTTAAAAATATTTAAGAAAATTATATATATTTTTTATTTTAAATATATAATTGTTATTTAAATATTTTTTATTTTTAAAATTTTAAATATTTTTTTTATTTTGTAAATATTTTAATTTTTTAAAATATTTTAAACTCAAAATATAACTTTACACTCAAATCGTAATTAAACACATAACTCAAAACTCAAAACTTAATTTAAAAACTATTTTCAAAACTCATAACCAAACACATATCTCAAAACTCTTTACAAAACCTTTTTTAAAAAAAAAAAAAAATTGTCCTTTAAAATTATTTATTATTTTATATTTTTTTTCAAAAAATATTTGTTTATTTTTATTTTTGAAGAAAAATCTTTTTTTATTTTTTTATTTTTTCAAAAAATAATTTTTGTTATTTTTTTAAGTATTGGCCAAATAATTTGTTATGATTTAAATATAGAGGATTTTTTTTTAAAAAAAAAGTTTCTAGTATTAAAATTTTATAACATAAAAGGCATCAAATATTTTTATAATGTCTAAGGTCTCTCAAATTGATTCAGAGAAAATTCGACTTCACAGAAAAAATCTCACCAAAGAACTTTCCAAAGAAATTCACTTCAACCTAGAGAAATTCTGTCAAAACCAGAGAAATCCCCCTCTTCAACCCAGAGAAATTCACTCAAATCTAGAGAAAATTCCCCTCTAATCCAAAGAAATTCACACAAATCCAAAGAAAATCTCTCTCCAATCCAGAGACATTCACTTAAACTAGAGAAATTCCTCCTCTCCAACCCAGAGAAATTCATCTAAACCCAGAGAAAATTCCCTTCAAACCCAAAGAAATTCACTCAAATTCAGAGAAAATTCCCCTCAAACGTAGAGAAATTCACTCAAACCAGAGAAATTCCTCCTCTCTAACCCAAAGAAATTCCCATCAAAAGATTACTCCTTTAAATACATAAAAAGAAAACAAAATCAAAATTTGATAAAAACTTGGATTTTGATTTCATGGTGATCAAAATCTGGGGTAACTCTGTTTGTAAAGCGAAAAATGATCGAATACTTGGTGAACAGTAACTTAATATGCAAAAGCAAGAACTACCTAGTTGAAATGGCAAAATGAATGTGAGATTTGAAGGATTGGCAAAGGTTTTTTGGAGGAGAAATTGAATGGGTAAAAGTCAGTGGACATGAAAATGGAAAATATGGATGTGAAACAAGTTGACTTTTCAAATCCAACTATATCATACTCAATATAAACACAGAGATTAAAATGAAATTATTTCATGGTGTTCTGTTGAGTTGGACCACCAAGTTCTCTCCAGCGGTGATCTCTTCAACGGCGGACTTGGCAATGACAACGGCCGACAACGGGCTGCCTCCTCCGATCCGAAATTCTCACATATAAGCCGGAGGATTTCGCGATAATGGTGTCGACGAAGAAGCTCCGGTCTTCATCTAATCTTCATCTGATCCAGCATCACCGTCAATCTCTCTCTCTGTTCGTTGCTTGCAAATATGTGTGTGTCTCTCTCTCTAGAAAAAAATGATGAAGACTTCTCATATATGGGTGTGGGGTTAGGGACCTTAGACGAAAAACCAAACCAAACCAAGCCTTGAGTGCCATCAAATAGGGTAGGCTACATGAATCCTTCTTCTCCACACGACCCTATTAAAGGCCATTTCGTTAGTCAAATTAAGTAGATTCACATCTCTATTTACAATGCTAGCCAACGTTAATCTAGGCCTACCCCGTCCCCTAACACTTCTATCTACCGTTACAACATTGCATCTCTTCATTACTGTTTCTGTTGGTCTCCGTTGAATATGACCAAATCATTTCAATTGATTCTTTCTCAACTTATCTTCTATCAATGTTACTCCTATCCATTCTCGAATACACTCATTCCTAATTCTGTCTTGTCTAGTCTTGTCACGTATCCACCTTAGCATCCTCATCTCAGCCACACTTATCTTATCTACATGTTATTTCTTGGTTGCCCAATACTCCGTCCCATATAACATCGTTGGTCTAATAACCATTCTATAGAACTTACCTTTAGTCTAGTGGGTATTCGTTTATCATACAGTATCCCAGACGTACTTCTCCACTTACACCATTCCGCCTTAATCCTATGGGCCACATCCGCATAAATCTCTTCCACTGTTGTAATAATCGATCTTAAATAACAAAAATGTTCACTCTTAGGCAGTTCTTGATTTTCAATTTTCATTTCTCCTCTGCTTTCATTGTTACTGTTACTAAATTTGCACTCCATGTACTCTGTCTTAGTTCTACTTATCCGGAATCCTTTAGATTCAAGAGTTTTTCTCCAAATCTCCAACTTTGTGTTAACTCCTTCTCTAGTCTCATCCACTAGCACGATATCGTCTACAAAAAGCATACACCATGGCACATCATCTTGAATATTTCTTGTCAACTCATCCATAACTAAAGCAAAAAGATAAGGACTTCAGGTAGATCCTTGGTGTAACCCTACAGTGATAGGAAATTTATTTGTCTCTCAAACAGGCGATCTAATAGTGGTCACCACGCTTTCATACATATCCCTAATCACATCAATGTAACCTTACCCACCATATTATATCCTGGAGCACTCTATCATATGCTTTCTCAAGGTTGATAAATATCAGATGAATGTCTCTTTTCTTTTCTCTATACTTTTCTATTACTCTCCTCAAAAAATAGATCGCTTCCATTGTTGACCTGTCAGGCATAAACCTAAATTGATTCTCTAACACCTCTGTTATATCTCGCAATTGGCTTTCCATCACCTTCTCTCATACTTTCATTATATGACACATTAGCGTGATTCCTCTATAGTTGTTACAATTCTAGACATCTCCTTTATTCTTATAGATTGGCACTAAAATACTATTCCTCCACTCATCTAGCATGTTCCTAGTCAACAAAATTTTGCTAAACAACCTAATCAACCAAGCAACCCCCTTTTTATCCAAATAATTCCAAGCTTCAATAGGGATATCATCGGGTCCTAAAGCCTTATTTGATTTCATCTTCTAAAGTGCAATCTCCACTTCAAAGTTCTTAATCCTGCGATAAAACCTAGGCCCCGTTTGTTTTGGGGGATAGAGGGAGGAATGGGATTATGATAGTTGTGGGTCCCATTTAATGTGTTGTTTGTTTACAGAGTTGAGGAAGGGACTCATACGTCGGAGGGCTTAAGATAGGCCTTGCAGATGGGATTCACAGTCTATCCCAAAACTTGGTATTGAAATTAATCCGTTGGTATTAGGGAAGTGATTTACGTGTTTACCCATCATTGTCCTAGCCCTAACTCATCATTTGAAGCGCAGCAAAAGGGAGAGGCAAAGAGAAGCTCTACGTCTTCAAATTTTCGATCTCAAGTACAGCAAGCTCTATCTCATCTTCAGATTTTCGATCTTCAGATTCAGCTGAGCATCTACTACGTCGGTAATTGTTTTTGTTAATCCTGCTTGTAGACGTTCCCGAATGTCCCGGCTCCGCGCGGCGAAACGGCGCGAAATCCGTTTTGTTCATTAGCTACTACAGTTCGGACTCAATGTCACGGTTCTGAATCTAATCTCGCAAAGTGTAATGCAAGACCGATAAATCACCAAAGAGTCCAAATCCGGCAAATCGTTTTGGAAAATTGATTTTTATAAAGAAGTGCCAAACATGGACTGCTTTGTCAGATACAGAGTCGCCACCTAAATGTTTCATTTTTGGAAAAATTTAGGAAACCCTGACTCGTTGCCTAAGGCCACGTGTTCGTCATCACCAAAGTTGCTTCATCTTGGGAACTTGGGTATGAGAGGGGAAGGTCATGCAATGAGCACCTCCTCTCGCCCGATCAAAGGATCAACCTTTACTAACATGATATTTTGTTTTTGAAAACACATGTGTTCTTATTCCGGTTTATTAGCTAGCTTTACTACGTAATGCGCACAGCATACAAGTATAGACTAGATCGCCTAAGTTGGAACAAAACATCTCATGTTTGTTTGAAAATAGTTTGAAGGTGCTACTTGCAAGTAGGCTAAGACGTGGATTTTGGAAGACATGCACACACTCACACACACTTATTACAAAAGTTGGCCGTCTCAACGGAGGGTCCGAATGAATAATACAAGCTAGCTACGCTAAGCTATTCTAACTAATCTAATAATCTAATTAGACTAATTATTACATAACCAAATTGGAAATTAGCTACAACTAATTATTACAAATTAACTAACTATACAAAGCAGTTAAAACGGCCTCGAGAAGAGGGACAAATGCATGCTCGGTCAGCTTCGCTTGGAAATCCGTTGCCATGCCTCATGTTGCCTCTGTTTGCACTGTTTTACACCCCTGAAAACTGTACAAATCTTTGTAATGCTTCTAAACCACCTCATGGACATGTTGAGAGGCCATCGGCCAAGAGTTATGGCCATTAGCCAAGGGAAAAGGGTCGTCGACCACTTTTGAGTCCATCGACCAAAAATTGTTAGCTGATCGGCACTCCAGATAGCCGATCGGCCATCTCTTCCTGCAGATTGCTCTTTTTGCTGCAGCAGAGTACAAACAAAGGCATGGCAATACATTTGCAAAGAAATGTTGTGCAACTACACCCCTTATCATGTTTGAGACTCAAAGGAGCGTAGTGTTCGACTCTCGAGCCATCAATCACGCATTTCGATGCATGATGGCCAAAGAGGCTGAGTTGCACAATTCAATGTGAATGAAATGCACAAAAACACATAATGCCTTAACCTCTATCATGCATGATCAAGAGGGTCG